TGCATGTACACGCGCGCACGCACGTGTGCACGGACACACACACACACACACACACATGCACGCACAAGCACATATACATGCAAGCATGAACGTACATATTATATTATGTGTCGCCACAAACATACATCCATATTCTGGCACAAAGAGAGAGAGAAGAGAGAGAGAGAGAGAGAGAGAGAGAGAGAGAGAGAGAGAGAGAGAGAGAGAGAGAGAGAGAGAGAGAGAGAGAGAGAGAGAGAGAGAGAGAGAGAGAGAGAGAGAGAGAGAGAGAGAGAGAGAGAGAGAGAGAGAGAGAGAGAGAGAGAGAGAGAGAGAGAGAGAGAGAGAGAGAGAGAGAGAGAGGAGAGAGAGAGAGAGAGAGAGAGAGAGAGAGAGAGAGAGAGAGAGAGAGAGAGAGAGAGAGAGAGAGAGAGAGAGAGAGAGAGAGAGAGAGAGAGAGAGGAGAGAGAGAGAGAGAGAGAGAGAAAGAAAGAGAGAGAGAGAGAGACAATAAGAAAGGAAAGATATTGCGGGTGAAGGAGGAGGAGGAGGAGGAGGGGGAGGAGGAGGAGGAGGAGGAGGAGGAGGAGAGGATGAGGAGGTGGAGAGAGCAAATGAGTGAGACAGATTCATATGTTGTGGAGAGACCATTCCTGCTATGCACAGGTAACAAAGATTAGAATAGATAATGTTAGCATTTCTACCTCGGACGCGAAAGCTAGTCGCTTTGCCTCCCCGCCGGACAGACCTCGGCCACCCTTGATAGGACTGCCGATACGTGTGTCACGCACTTTCATCAGACCAAGCTGAAAAGTACACACACACACATGCGCACACACATGCACATGCACACACACACACATACACACATACACACATACACACACGCACACACACACACACACACACACACACACACACACACACACACACACACACACACACACACACACACACACACACATGCACGTGCTCGCACCCACCCACCCATCCACACAGACACACATACACAAACAGACCTAGTCAGCATTTGACTGCACGCATTAATTTCAGCCTTGCGAATAACGACCGCTCACGAATACCGACACTTTTCCCATGCACGAACAACAAGGGTCGTTCTTTGAAACTCGGAAAGGATGTCTGCACTCTTACGGTCCATTCATCCAAAAATGGCACCTGAACTTTTTGTTCTCTTTCCCGTAAAGCAAAACCTCCCTAACCTGGATGGACTGTCCATATCCGGACTACAGTCTACTGGGCATGTTTCTGACTCCTCTCTGCTTACCAAATATGCTTTTCAACAAAAAAGGGCACCAAACAAATCAATAGTGATTGGTATAAGAAGTCACTGCTTGCAAGCAATAAGTATGTAAGCTCCAAGTTAGGGACATTTCCAAATAACGGGTAGTGCCCCGTCCCGACATGCCCGGTCCCGACATGCCCGGTCCCCGAGGTGCCCAGTCCCAACATGCCCGGTCCCGAGGTGCCTGGTCCCGAGGTGCCCAGTCCCGACATGCCCGGTCCCGAGGTGCCCAGTCCCGATGCACCCGGTCCCGATGCACCCGGTCCCAATGCACCCGATCCCAATGCACCCGGTCCCAAAGCACCCGGTCCCAATGCACCCGGTCCCACCATGCCCGGTCCCGACGTGCCCTGACAAGTTGATCTCTACTATACTGCATTAGACATGCAGCGAAGCAACTAATGTACATCCTCACTTCTTCATCTGCCATCCTTGTGTCATTTTCTTTCACTGTTCTATGCATGAATTGAGTGCATGATCTTTGAACACCCACTGACAGCATTATCCAATGTATTAGGGGTCGTCCACAAAAGTCGAACCTTTTTCACAAAACGAAATAATTTCGATATGGGGTGGGAGGGAGTTGACCAATTTCGTTTCAGAAAACATTGATACATGTACATGGCCGCACTTGCGTTTTTTTGTTGTACGTATATGTCAACATTTTTACGTTCCAAGGGGGGGGGGGGAGGGAGGAGTTGGGTCTAAACTAAAATAATTCGTTTGGTGAAAAAAGTTCGATTTTCACGGACGACCCCTTAGCGTACTTACCTCCAGCATCACTTTGTTCACCTGCTCTTCACGATCTTCCACCGAGGTGTAGTTATCCATACGGAGCATAGCCTGGTACACACACATACACACATGTACGGACACACACACACACACACACGTACGGACACACACAAGTACGGATACACACACATGCATGCATGTACACACACACACACACACACACATGCACATACACATACACATACACACAGGCACGCGCACACACACACACACATACACACACACACGTACGGACACATACAGACAGTGGGACTTTTTTTAATTCGGGGAGACAGGCTAGTGAGGCTACTCAATCCACTAACAGAACTGTTTGATCTAGTTTGTGGACTCATCAGCGCAGCACAGAGAAAATGAGGCCGAGCCTGATTGCAATGAAAAATTATTTTCCGAAGCCAGATTTGCACCAGGCGCGGGCCGCGGGGGAGACAGGCGATATACACTGTAAAGCTATATGTGCTGTCGTGGACATGGACATCCGGTCGCACGTCTAGCGGCCCCAGGGCGCTGGCCATGCAGCCGTGGGTAAGCGGTACACACATACGCGCTGCAGCTCGCCGGTCGCATCGGCCGATATCGGATCAAGCGCTGTTCTGTACGCGCTGAGGGCGCCGGCCCCGGTCAATCGACTGGACTTCCATGTCCACGACAGTACTAGGCTCACACCTCGGTTATCCGGACCGCGAACCTACGGGCACTTCAGTCTACCACCGGGCACCCTTTGGGCGAGTTTGAGTGGAAATATTACTACTCGTCAGTCACTTTTGATGGAAATAGATAGTGATGTCACATGACATATCTACTGTAAAATCGGAAAGTTTAACGACCAAACATTTTTTAAAGGTTTAAATTTTTTTGGCATGATAGCGTGCAGAAAGTTTAAAGGGGAAGTTAAGGCAAAAATTAAAATTTCACCAGTTGTAGTCTTCGGGGTGCTGAGTCGAATGGTCTTGGTCCGAGGAAGCTGAGACGCTCCCTTCCTACTTGAATCCCAATCGAACTCGCGCACTTCCACCGAAACTGGGTGACTGCGCCCTACTAGATGGGGATTTGTATGCAAAATGTCACTAAAAGCGCCATTTCGTTCTTATAAAAGCACGGATGACCGCGATTGGCCCATATGTTGTAGTCTTTTGGACGCTGAGTCGACTGGTTTTGGTCCGAAAAGGCTGCGATGCAGCGTTCCTCCTTTATTCCCAATCGAACATGGTTGAACAAGCGGTCACGTGGTCCTGGGTGCCCAAATCACCTGGTCACCACGCCAGCAGGTGACAACTACTTTACTTTCACACCAAGGTTCAACTGGAGTTCAACTCGAGTGACAGGACTGCACCCAAAAAAGGTCAAACAGGCTAGTAAGTTGTACCCTGCAGGCACGGTGACCAGGTGACTGGTGTACGCAGGAGCACGTGACCGCTTCTTCAACCATGTTCGATTGGGAATAAAGGAGGAACGCCGCATCGCAGCCTTTTCGGACCAAAACCAGTCGACTCAGCGTCCAAAAGACTACAACATATGGGCCAATCGCGGTCATCCGTGCTTTTAGAAGAACGAAATGGCGCTTTTAGTGACATTTTGCATACAAATCCCCATCTAGTAGGGCGCAGTCACCCAGTTTCGGTGGAAGTGCGCGAGTTCGATTGGGATTCAAGTAGGAAGGGAGCGTCTCAGCTTCCTCGGACCACGACCATTCGACTCAGCACCCCGAAGACTACAACTGGTGAAATTTTAATTTTTGCCTTAACTTCCCCTTTAACGATGGCTACTTGGCCACCCATCTGTATGCACATCTTTACACAGACATCTCGCGATAACGTTTCTTCAAATAACGAAAAACAATGGTCGTTAGAACGCTAGCCTTTGTGACTCGTTAGACTTTCCGGTTTTACAGTACGGTCTTTCCTTATCAACATGTAAATGTATGTGATTCGGAGATACGGACATTTTGAAGTCACGGACAGTGCCCGGTCCCGGATTGTCCGGACAAACGAGGTACAGTAATACCTGTCAGGGAGACCACCTGTCAGGGAGACCACCTGTCAGGGAGACCACCTGTCAGGGAGACCACCTGTCAGGGAGACCACCTGTCCTGGAAGACCGCTGAAACCGGGACTGAGGAATGCTATTTCCAGTCAAATAAATCTGGATAAGGAGACCACCTGGTAACAGAGACCACACTTTGAAGGTCCCTTGAGCGGTCGTCTTGGACAGGTTTCACTGTACGAGTGTTGTGTCACGTGAGTACTGTTGTGTCACGTGAGTACTGTTGTGTCACGTGAGTACTGTTGTGTCACGTGAGTACTGTTGTGTCACGTGAGTACTGTTGTGTCACGTGAGTACTGTTGTGTCACGTGAGTACTGTTGTGTCACGTGAGTACTGTTGTGTCACGTGAGTACTGTTGTGTCACGGGAGTACTGTTGTGTCACGGGAGTACTGTTGTGTCACGTGAGTACTGTTGTGTCACGTGAGTACTGTTGTGTCACGTGAGTACTGTTGTGTCACGTGAGTACTGTTGTGTCACGTGAGTACTGTTGTGTCACGTGAGTACTGTTGTGTCACGTGAGTACTGTTGTGTCACGGGAGTACTGTTGTGTCACGGGAGTACTGTTGTGTCACGTGAGTACTGTTGTGTCACGTGAGTAGGGCTCCCGTAAGAAGACCATAGGTCTGTGGGAAACACCCTAGTAAAATAAAAGTTAATAATAATAATAATAATAATAATAATAATAATAATACTGTTGTGTCACGTGAGTACTGTTGTGTCACGTGAGTACTGTTGTGTCACGTGAGTACTGTTGTGTCACGTGAGTACTGTTGTGTCACGTGAGTACTGTTGTGTCACGTGAGTACTGTTGTGTCACGTGAGTACTGTTGTGTCACGTGAGTACTGTTGTGTCACGTGAGTACTGTTGTGTCACGTGAGTACTGTTGTGTCACGTGAGTACTGTTGTGTCACGTGAGTACTGTTGTGTCACGTGAGTACTGTTGTGTCACGTGAGTACTGTTGTGTCACGTGAGTACTGTTGTGTCACGTGAGTACTGTTGTGTCACGTGAGTACTGTTGTGTCACGTGAGTACTGTTGTGTCACGTGAGTACTGTTGTGTCACGTGAGTACTGTTGTGTCACGGGAGTACTGTTGTGTCACGTGAGTACTGTTGTGTCACGTGAGTACTGTTGTGTCACGTGAGTACAGTCTACTCGCGATAAGTCACGCACAATGTCCTGGGATAGAAAATGCGCGACTTACCGCGAGTGCGCGACTTACATTATGCACCACGTCATGCATATGTACAGCCGTCATTTTTTCTTGTGCATAATTATGGACATGTGTGCTGAACACGCGTACAAGCACTGAGCTGCATGCACACGAGACGTAGATCTACCACAGCGTGAAGCCGTGATCGATATGAAGGCATGATTGAGAAAGACAAGACAGTAACGACGTTCCTTTACTTTTGCCGTTTTCGTAGGGATTTGACAAGACGCACTTCTGTTTCCGTCGTGTAAGCACTTCGTTTCCCTTTGCTTGACGATGCCTTCTCATAAGAAAACGAAAGAACAGCGAACAGTGGCTGATCGACTGCGTTTGGTTCGTCTCTATCGTGAGAATGGAAAAACCTCCGCTCGAAAATTTGCGAAGTTGAACAATGTTCCGGAGGCGATGTTCCGCGGCTGGCTGAGGGATGCTGAAGCTGGAAAACTCGCCAATGCTAATCCGTCTGGTCCACAGGGAGTCCGCAACAGAAGTTCCCAGTTCGGGAAAATTGAGGAGCGGCTAGTGAAGTATATTTTGCTTCGAAGGGAGAAGTTTGTGACTGACAAACTTGGATTGTCGTGGGTGATCCTGAGGGAGAAGGCTCTCATAAAATATGCACATAATAATTATATTCTTACCTTTACAGTATTCAAGCTCCATCATTGAAAACCACATCATTCGCAAATACTCACGAAATCCACGAAATCCGCAAAATCCCGAAAAATAAAAAATTCTTGAGATGGGTGTCCTGGATGAAAAAGTGCGTGACTTATCGCGAGTGCGTGACTTAAAGGTGCGTGACTTATCGCGAGTAGACTGTACTGTTGTGGCTCACCTGTACACGTAGGTGCTCGTAGACAGTGAGGTTTGGCAGAAACACGTCTTGTTGCTGTACGTAGGCAGCTGCCCGGCGTACGTCACGGGACACAACAGAGTGGCCGTTGATTGCAAGAGTACCTGAGCAGGGGAGGGGGGGGGGGGAAGAGAGAGAGAGAGAGAGAGAGAGAGAGAGAGAGAGAGAGAGAGAGAGAGAGAAAGAGAGAGAGAGAGTGTGTGAGAGAGAGAGAGAGAGAGAGAGTGAGAGAGTGAGAGAGAGTGTGTGTGTGTGTGTTAAGCAGATGGATATCCTCCACACGGGCACGTCATGACATGTGCCACAGTAAGCGCCTAGCCGCATACGCAATTCGGAGAGACACCATCCAACTGAAGGCCGTACCGAATGGCAATAGAATCCCTAAAGTCCGGTCGGTTGAGTACTGTTCCATGCCCTACTCCAGGCAATACTGTGCCTTTCAAGGTAACCACTCTCATGAGGAGATCATCTGTACACAGAGGACCCGGCACTACAACCTGGACCGAGGTGTGCTATTTCCAGTCAAGAAGACCACCTGTACACCAGTCCTGGGTATCCCTTGTTTAGGGAACACTTGACATTGTCTGGTCGCCAAGGTGATCATGGTGATCCGTAGCTGCGCGTAGGCCCGCGTAGCCGCCTTGCCGGCCTTGGCCCTTTTTACCTCGGCAGACCGCACCGGAAGAAAGATGACGACGCTGTTTTGGTGAATATTTTCTTCGCGTTCGACAGTCTGTGCGCCAAATTCAAAAAAAGTCGAAAGCCTTTTCTTCTTTCTCGAGTGATCCTTGGTGATTTTTCAAGCCTCTTCGCAGTGTTCAACACCCAATGGCTCAGGAGAAGAAAGGTCGAAAAAATGTAGTCACTGGCCTCGTTTCAAGTGACAGCAGGAGAAGAAATTTCCTTTCAAGACGGAAGAATGGACTCCTAAAAAAGGTAAGTTCAATGCACATCGCAATTCTGAACTTGCGCAATTTGTCATGAAGGCTTCGCTTCATTTGTGTTCTGCAGGCCGCAGAGTTGCATGTTGGAAGTGGAGCCAAGGTTTTGGTCGTGGTGGTCGCTCCTTCTGGAGTTCGACACACGTACAGCTCGCACCCTGTGGACGAGATTTTGCCCTCCACCAGCTCGACAAGTGTCACAACAGCAAGAGCTGACCCAGTGGCATGCTCTGCAAGAAGCAGTTCATATCCCACCGCGATGAACACCCCAGATTCCACCACGAGCCCCACTGAAGAATGAAAATTAAATTTGGACTATGCTGGTCCTTCAAACATCACCTGTTGGATGTTTGTTGTGTGCAAACACCATAGTCTGGTATCAATTCACCTCAGAATGTCAACATTGAAAATGATAATAATGTATGCGTCATCAGAAATTGACACTTTCTGGACAATAGAGCAATGCTAGTAGTCAACAAACATCACGCTGAACCACTATGAATAGGATCCACCAGCTCGACAAGTGTAACAACAGCAAGAGCTGACCCAGTGGCATGCTCTGCAAGAAGCAGTTCGTATCCCACCGCGATGAACACCCCAGATTCCACCACGAGCCCCACTGAAGAATGAAAATTAAATTTGGACTATGCTGGTCCTTCAAACATCACCTGTTGGATGCTTGTTGTGTGCAAACACCATAGTCTGGTATCAATTCACCTCAGAATGTCAACATTGAAAATGATAATAATGTATGCGTCATCAGAAATTGACACTTTCTGGACAATAGAGCAATGCTAGTAGTCAACAAACATCACGCTGAACCACTATGAATAGGATCCACCAGCTCGACAAGTGTCACAACAGCAAGAGCTGACCCAGTGGCATGCTCTGCAAGAAGCAGTTCGTATCCCACCGCGATGAACACCCCAGATTCCACCACGAGCCCCACTGAAGAATGAAAATTAAATTTGGACTATGCTGTCGAGGGTTGTCTTGCTTTGGGTGATGCTGTACACTATTGCCTGGAGCAAAACATGGAATTCTGCACAGTAATTCAAGTTAGCAGCAGCATAGAGAGACTCCATGGCTTGCGCTTGAAGAACTGTGCGGCGGTCGGCAACGGAGAAGTCAAGTGCAAACGTGCTTGAGGTCATGCCCGTCACAAACGTCTCAACAAACTTGTTGTAGGGTTTGTTGCTGAACTGACCCGTCGGGATGGACAGCAAGTTCTGCAATGATCTACTTGACTTTGCTGACTCAACAGCACTCAACACATCTGCTTTGAACTGCGGCTGCTCAGCCACACACAGCCTACGTAGCAAGTCCAAGCGACCTTCCGAGGTGCTCAGAAGCGAACCTACACTTTCCTTTTTCATACTAATTATTTCCTTCTCAAGTAATTCAATTTTGCTATCCTTCTGCAAATGCATCTTCGACAATGCAGCCAACGCACAGTTTTTTGGCCACCAACACTCTCTCTAAACGCTTCAAAGAATCAACATTTTCAACATTATCAACATTTTCAACATTATCTACCGGTACTTCGTTTGAGGCTGAGGAGGTTTCTAGGGGCTGGCTGAAGACAGGGGGGAAAGAATCATCTACATCATCGCAGGAGCTTACCTCTGGGAGAGGAACATCATCGCTGGCATCTACCATGTCAGGCTACAGAGTCCCCATAGCTATCGCCCCTCCGAGGCTCGTCGTGACAGAGGGTGGTTGGTGATTAAATCCTTCAAGTCAGCCAGTCGTCCGCAGCTCCTCAGTACAAATTGCAGATACGTCTCGTCCAGAGAGCGCTGACAACACTGCCAGGATACACTTGCGAACCCGAACATCCTTGGAGCTATGCCGAGGCGATTCCCACTCATCGTGGAAGGGATTCTTGCACGCAAACTGGTATTGAGAACCTCCAGAGTGTCTCTTCTTCGTGGATATCTTGCCCATGATGACAAAATGTTGAAAATACAAAACGGGCTTCTTCTCGTCGCTTCTCTCTCTCGAAAGACATGGCAGAGTTCAATTTTTTTCGGGCAAAACCTCCATAAACCCTTACAGGCCAGGCTAAAACACTGTACAACCTCCGCACTTTTGGGGTTACCTCCGCAAAGTTACCAAAAGAGGGACTGATACTTCAAGGCAAATCGAAATTGTGCCACATCTCTTTCAATGAGAACAGAGGCCTTCGCAGCGCATCCATCTTCCTCTTTTTCGGGCCGCGGGCGCACGGCGGGCGCACGGCGCGATTTGACCGTGCGTACTTGTCAATCTCCATATCAACGCCTGAGTTTTCGTGTAAAAACCGAATGTTCCCTGAACAAGGGATTCCCTCGACTGGTACACCGCGACAACATTTACAAGGTCCCCTGAGCCGCCGCCTTTGGGGCCATCCGGCATTAGGCCACCCTTTCTTTTTTCGTTGTTTAACGTCCGCGCCCGCATACCTTTTTGCCTCCGACCGGAAAAAAAAAAACAAGAAAGTAGTAGTACCAATAATATGCGAAGTTGTAAATACATGATTGTGTAGTTTCACAGTGTGCCGATCATGACCTTAAACTTATAATCTTGCCTCCCGGGCATGCCTTTGTCTTGTGTTCTTTTTCTTTTTTTTGTTGGCTTTTAAATATCGTACGGTGTGTGTCCTAGTAAAAATCCAGATGTAATGAATTCATGACATGCTAACTCCATGCTATGTACCTGTTTTGTTGGATTCATCAGGCATGTGCTCCAATGTACCATCAAAGAGTGTTGTTCTATGCCTGCAAGTGCCGTTAGACCCAGAAATATTGTATATATCACATGCTTTACTGGTCAAAATGTTTGATTGGGGTTTCCAGTTTTTGGAATGGGCTTTTCGTTTTTTTCGCCTTCCCGCGTACCTTTTCGCGAAAAAAAAGGACATTAAACAATGAATTAACAAAGGGTGGCCTTATCGATAATTCACGGAACGAAATAGTTTAGTTACAGTCGTCCCTCTCTAATCCGGCACCCTTTGCAACGGCATTTTCTGCTGGATAGGCAAGGGTGCTGGATTATCAAATCCTGCCCTCCAACCCGGCCCACCTGTTAAAACGTAGGGATTTTCCGTGTCAATCCAAGTACTTTGTGGAATGCATGTCTTTAACATACACTTGGGAATATCCTGTGCACTGGCAAAGGATATTCCAAAGTGTATGTTACATGTGTTGTTTATGTTACAACTTACAATGCTCCCTGACGGTACACGGTGTACAACTGCTGGATTAGAAAATCAAATTACGTACAGTTTGAGTGATTTGTTGCAGAAAATCGCCGCTGGAGGCGGAATTCAAGCGCCGGATTAAAGCGTAGAAAACGAACTGAAAAAATCCGTTTTGCCAGAAAGTGTGCTTGTTTGCAAGGGTGCTGGATAAACAAGTGCCGGATTAGAGAGGGACGACTGTAGCACCTTGTAGGTCATGTGTACCCACCATATCATACACAAACTGTATGAAAGGTCATGTGTACCCACCATATCATACACAAACTGTATGAAAGTCATGTGACTACCCTCCATATCATACACAAACTGTATGAAAGTCATGTGACTACCCTCCATATCATACACAAACTGTATGAAAGTCATGTGTATACCCTCCATATCATACACAAACTGTATGAAAGGCCATGTGTCACTGCTGGACCAATCAAAACCTGCTTCCGGCAGTCCTGCACAGTCACGTACCGTAACACTTGGTTTAAGCGACCGCCCACCCCACGGTGCAAGCAAAGGCGGTCGTTAAAGCCAGGTGGCCTTTAGAACCTGGTCCCACAGCGTCTGTGTAGAACTGTCGGTGCATGGAAAGACGGTCGTTAAGAGCAGGTGGTCTTTAGAACCTGGTCCCACAGCGTCTGTGTAGAACTGTCGGTGCATGGAAAGACGGTCGTTAAGAGCAGGTGGTCTTTAGAACCAGGTCCCACAGTGTCTGTGTAGAACTGTCGGTGCATGGAAAGACGGTCGTTAAAAGCAGGTGGTCGCTAAACCCAGAGGTCGCTTACACCAGGTTGTACTGTACCTACTGATCTGAAGGTGAAATGGGTTCTGTCTCACACTTAAACAAAAGAGAAAGGAGCAAGGAACTACGAGTTACGCTATACTGTCCACTAACACCACCGGTTACTGAACAATCAGCTCATGCGATAACACATTGTATTGTTTAGTAACAGGTGGTGTTACTGGACAGTTACACAGTATAGCGTAACGTGTAGTTCCTTGCTCCTTTCTCTGCTGTATAAATTAATTCTTGGCTCTCCGTCCGAGTCCATTCCCGCGCACCTGATGAGCCGTCTCACACTCACCGTGCACTTGCAGCACACTGGACATGCGGCCCGAGATCAAGTTCAAGAAAGTCGTCTTGCCTGCTCCACTGGACGGGCAACGAACGCAAACACCAACAAAGTAAACACCAAAGAAACACAGAAAGCAAAATGTCATCGTTGCGAGTAGCAAATACAGTCGACTCCACTTATAACAAACTAGCTGAATTACACAAAAACCTGTCAAGAAGACCACTCGGATAAGGCGACCACCTGTCCCAGAAGACCACCGCAGCCAGGACCAAGGGATGCTATTTCCAGTGAAATGACCCTGGATAAGGAGACCACCCGGTAACAGAGGCCACACTTTGAAGGTCCCTTGAGCGGTCGTCCTACACACATTTCACTGTATAGAGAGTTTCGTGATAATTACAGCAAACCAGTGGCCACATCCCTATTTAGAACTGACCCACACAAAATCGACCCTTCGAGTCATACTGAAGAGTTTTCGTTTACAACCAACCATAATCTTGCAGGGCCGTGTGTAATCAGGATGAGGTTTTACATTTTGATCTACAATGTCATCACAATAATCTCCACATTGAAGAATTACTTCAACCCCCCCCCCCTCCACCTCATCCCCTTGATCAAAAGATTCACACCCCTTCTCCTGGATCACAACCCCTGGATCACATCATACCCCCCCCCCCCGGGATCACAACCCCCCCCCCCCCCTCCTGGATTACTCCCCCCCCCCCCTGGATCACCTCCCCCCTCTCCCTTCTGGATCACAACCCCTGGATAACCCCTCACCCCCCCCCCCCCCCCTCACCCCAGATCATAGCTGAAGTAAGGTACTAAGTACAGGAGGTGTGTGTGTGTGGGGGGGTCACAGTATACCTTGCACCCATCAGGGCCATGAGCTGTCCGGCTTGAATGCGTCCACTTACTGCAGATGATACACGCACACGCGCACGCCCACACGTACACATACCCATATGCACACACACACACACACACACACACACACACACACACACACACACACACACACGCATGCACGCACGCGCGCACGTACACACTAAGTTCACAATTTCAGCGCATTAAAATTTCGGCCTCCCAGGGCAAAAAAGTTGAAAAAACACATTTCGACCGCATTAACATTTTGGCTTGTACTACTGCTTGCCTGTATACATTGTCACACTGAACCTTGCAAAACGAAATTTCAGCCACAACACAATTTCAGCCAAAGTGCCCAGGCCGAAAATAATGCCCCACACCCACCCCACATCCCCCCCCCCTTCACCTCACCCCCCACACACACATACCCCCTCCCCCACCACCACCACCACACTGTGCAGTTGGAGCAACAATCAAAACCAGGGGGGGGGCAGATACGGGCAGTTTGAGTGCACTCACAACACGCTCAAGCCGCCCGCCCAAACAATCACACAGACAGGCAGCTGAACTCACAGTCGTTGAGGATGACCTTTGGCTCGTGGCGCTTTTCTTTCTCGTTCTTTGGCAGCGTCACGGTGAGATGGTGCCAGCTCAGGTTGACACGATCACCGAGTGTGGAACGGATGCTCATTTTGCCAGATTTCAAAGACTGTTGGGTACACACACACACACGTACACACACATGCACAAACGTGCGCATGCATGCACACGTGCACACAAACACACACGCACACGCGTGCATGCACACACTCACGTACACGCACACACAAACACACACACACACACGCACACACACACACACGCACACACACACAAACATACACACACGCACACACACACACACACACACACACACACACACGCACACACAAGCATATATAAATATGTTAGTAGGATAGCGGGTACATATTCGAATCCTTCAAGGGGTTCCTCCACTCTGGCAGTGCAGCGTATGTGCACATACTTCTGCACGGAAAGGCAGTAAGGATGTAGACCTGCAGTCCATTCACCAAACCGGGGCTCATAGGGCGTTTCACAGTCTTACTTCATTCTTATTCAAGATCGTGAAGTCAATGTCTTTAAAAGATATAGGTAAAATAATACATAGCAGGTCAAGGTCAAAAAAATATGATAGCCGTTGTTTTATTAAGCCTATAGATGAAGTGTGTATGGTGAAAATCGATCAAGAAATGTTTAGTGTATCAGAGTCCCGATTTCGCAGATGAACTGTAGTTCAATGTGGTTCGGTGCTATCAATACCGAGCATTGCCATGATGGGCGTTCAGCACGGAAAGCGCTCAAGAGTCGCCCCCGTCCTGCCCTGCTGTGTTCGACCCAGGTGTTGGCGAGCGAAGTGCAGCGACGTGATATCACTGATCGTGGCCTCGGAAAAGTGCGGACTGGCGAAGGTGTATGGTGTGGGCACGAGAGCACGATCATGGAAAGTGTGTGGAGTATGATCATGGAAAGTGTGTGGAGATCATGCAGGCCTCTTTTACGGGCAAACAGAATACAATTGACAGTGGCATGGCGAATGATTAGAACACAACACCAAAAAATGAAAACAATTGTATGTGTGAAAAAACTAGTGTTGAAACGAGCGTATCTATAACAAACGAGCGAACAGTTCCACTAACGAGCGAGTTAACGAGTTTCACTGATGTGGCAAAGATGATATTTTTTAATTTCAGCTACTTCGAATTTCACCGCCAGCGCTGGGGTTGCTGCTGCTTTTGACTGGCTTCACTTCGGACAGGTATTTGGTGTCGAGATGTCTTTTCTGCACCTTCGTTCAGCCGCCACTGTAAGACAAGACCGTTTTTCAAAGATTGAAAGTAGCCCTGTTCTTCGCTGCATTGCGGGAAAAAAACTTCCAAAACGACTAAGCATGACTTTCGCTCGAACAGTGATTCACTAGATGCACTGACTGTACTGTAATGTGCATACTGTAACGTATACGATGCTCGTTAGTGCAAACGAGCTCGCCGCACAAACGAGCCGAGTTTCTGGCGAGCGAGCTAACGAGTACCCGGTGAGATCCTTTCAACACTAAAAAAACGCAAAAATGAGAGAAAAAACAGGAAAATACAAGGGCACTGTCCTGCCCACCATCGTCTCCAAAACCCCACAGCCGGCCCTCCGAGATTGCCAACTCTCGCAATGCATTCACAGGACGGTGATATGACGATCGGGCACCGCGGATGCACATGATCGCCGACCAGTGTGTGGAGTATGATCATGGAAAGTGTGTGCAGTCTGATTATGGATAGTGTGTGGAGTCTGATTATGGATAGTGTGTGGAAAAACAGGCATGGAAAAAGACGGTCGGTCATCAGACTCAGGGATGTAGCACTGTGATTTCAGCTGGTTCCGCCGAAAGGGAGGGATACTTGACCGGACAAAAAGGACGAGCTGGATCGACATGTGTCGCGGCATTATTAGGAAAAATGTGACAATAACATGGAGAAACAAAAAAATAACGTGCTAGACAATCATTTTTACAAAAAAAAAGCCGTTACGCATGTCGATCCAGCTCGTCCTTTTGTTCGCAGTTTCGAAACTGTTGTCGCCTCGTCGCTTATTTACTTGACCGGAAATGAACACGATTGGCGAGGAAACCCAACCCGTGTTGCACAAGCGGGGTTGGTCAACGATTTCAAAATACGGAGGATCCTTAAAATACACAGAGTACAAATACAATGAAACGTGTCTAAGACGACCGACCGCTCAAGGGACCTTCAAAACGTGGTCTCTGTTACCAGGTGGTCTCCTTATCCAGGGTCATTCGGCTGGAAATAGCATCACTTGATCCTGGTTTCAGTGGTCTTCTTGGACAGGTGGTCGCCTTATCCGAGCGATCACCCGAGCAGGTTTTACTCTGAAGGTCAGGCGCTGGCCAGCTGGGGAAGAACTGGAGTGCTCAACCTGAGCGCACTAAGTCGGCTATGAGTCGTGTGAGTTGTGTGAGTCGGTTATGAGGCGTGTGAGTCGGCTAGTATGAGTCGTGTGAGTCGGCTAGTATGAGTCGTGTGAGTCGGCTACGAGTCATGTGAGTCGGCTATGAGTCGTGTGAGTCGGCTACGGGTCGTGTGAGTCGGCTATGAGTCGTGTGAGTCGGGTATGAGTCGTGTGAGTCGGCTATGAGTCGTGTGAGTCGGCTATGAGTCGTGTGAGCCGTGTGAGCTGTGTGAGTCGGCTATGAGTCGTGTGAGCTGTGTGAGTCAGCTATGAGTCGTGTGAGTCGGCTATGAGTCGTGTGAGTCGGTTTTGAGTCGTGTGAGTTGGCTATGAGTCGGCTATGAGTCGTGTGAGCTGTGTGAGTCGGCTATGAGTCGTGTGAGTTGGCTATGAGTCCTGTGAGTCGGCTATGAGTCGTGTGAGTCGGCTATGAGTCGTGTGCGTCAGCTATGAGTCATGTGAGTTGGCTATGAGTCGCGTGAGTCGGCTATGAGTCGTGTGAGTCGGCTATGAGTCGTGTGAGTCGCCTATGAGTCGTGTGAGCTAGCTATGAGTCGTACGAGTCGACTATGAGTCATGTGAGTTGGCTATGAGTCGTGTGAGCGGGCCGGACCAGTCGGAACGGGTGCTACACCAACACCGACACATATATTACATACCTGCCTACTAGTAGTAGTATCCTGATCTGACCGTGACCGTCCCGATATCTCAGGGGTGCTACTAGCCACCCAAAAGCGCATTTGTCGCATGCCTCAGCTAGATGTGTATACATCTTCATACCTACGTACGGAATTGTCCCGATCTTGGGTTTGCAAAGGTTGGTAGGGATCATGCTATTAATTTTCTAAAATGACAAGCGCAAACACACTTAGTCAGCCTCTCACCTTCTTGTCCTGTACCGTACTCGTGGAAATTGTCTTGCGCAGTAGTGGTTGCGATTTCCGTCGCGCCGCCTTCCCGTCGCCGAACTCCAAGCCCTCCACAGCCATCTGCAGTGTGGTCTGGGTCTGGGTCCTCGGCACCCTGCCGCAGCTGGTGCTGCTGCTGGTGGTGGTCGTTCTATTGCCTGTGTGCTGCCACCGGCTTTCAGCATGATCCCGTACCGCCACTGGCTGTAGCGCACTTGACCTCGTTTCGTCCTCCAGCTGGGGTAGCACTGTAGAGCGAGAGCTCAGCCGCGTCATCGCACCGATACCGAGTCGACTAGGACTCGTGTGAGTCGGCCGCTCGCGCACGTCGCCGGCGAGTGCACTGTCAGCGTGCGGAATAGCGGATGGCGGCGGACTACGCGGCTCGCCGATCACAGGGTCAAGCTCGATCAGCTCCGCATCGTCCATGTGTCTGGACACTGCCATGTTTACACCCGCTGCGGAACACTCGATCTCTCGCTCTCTACTTCCCTCTCTCTCTCTCTCTCTCGCCCGCTCTCTCGCTCTCCCCCTCTCGTTCTCTCGTTCTCTCGCTCTCTCCGGCCTCGTATAACCTGCAACTAAGAAACGATTGAGTTGTGCCGCTTTCGCACGTTTTCTATCGGAAAATGAAACAAACTTGGCAATGCGTTGCCTTTCTCTATTGCCCTGGTCGCTTCACCGTCCTCATCCGCTATATCCGCTATATCGTGCGAGGAAAATACTACTACTAGTACTACCTGGTAGTACTAGCACGTGCCTTACAAATTTCAAATCGTATTCCAATAACTAATTACTTCGTTTTCCCATTGCCCCGTCCGGCCCTGTCTTGACTCTTGAGCGGAGCACTCCCGGCCAGCGCTGATACCTGGATGATCGATGGTGCATGCATGCAGTGGCTTGAAGTAACATTGTACACTTGATGCGATGCCGAACGCTCATTCCGAGCGCGGCGAGTCCGGCGACCCCATTGAACTCATCCGTCAACAGCATGATTGATGAATGATGAGTCAATGATGACAGTCGTCTTCTCAGCGATGTGAGTTCATGTAGGCCGTCCCTAGGCCCTAGCCCTTAGCTAGGCTTAGCCTTAGGCTTTATGACACGGAAACGTCGAGCTCTCGCTCGAGTCCACTGATATGACGTTTGTATGCCCATATGGGTTGTTGCGTTCTGGTTTGGTATTTTTATTATTTCCAGTTCGTTGCCTCAACAGTACAAAGTACAACTATCAAGAGGGACAAACGAAAAGAGAATGTAAAACAGAGCAGAAAGGAAGAAGCAACTGGACGGAAAGAAAAACGGAGAAGGAATGTGGACTGGGCGGATTCATGAATCATTACTACTAGGCGGAGCAAGCCATGAACAAAGGCACTTTGTAGTGAGAGGTGACTCCACTGCCTGATCTGGCTGGTATGGTCTGCAAGTCATCAGTTCGTCATCAGGTCATGGTAACTCCCAACAATTACATAGAGCATTACTACTAATAAGTAATAGTAATACTAGATGGTCTCCTCCCCAGCCAACCAGTTTTTAGTGGTTTCTATCTCATGCAGCTTCAGCTCAGTCAGTGTGCGAGACTTCATTCACTCGTTTTCTTTTTCATTTCTTCTTCCTTTAGGAAATATTAATTTTGGACATGTAGACTGCCGTCATGACCATTGTGACTTCCAGGAAAAGCAAAATTTAATAATATAATTGTAGCGTCTCCTTGCGCGACGTTGTTGCCTGGTGCTCCTTGCGATTTGGACGCAAACCTGTCGGTGACCCATGGCGTCCGACGAGCAGAAGTTGCCAGCTTCTGTCCGAACTGCCCGTGATTTGCTGGCTAAGGCACTTGAGAAGGCTGGTATTCAGATTAGCGGTGGACTTGCCAGCGATGCCAAAATCCCATTGAAAGATATTTTTGTCAACTAATACTTGACGTTGCTGACAAAGGACGAACTTTCCAAACTTTTCAGTAACGAGTCATCGTCCTTTTCGTCTGGTTCTGAACGAGCACGCCAGTTAGAATTGTTCTCCCAGGCTCAGCCGCAAAGCCAAAGCCGCAAAGGGTCGCTACGCCGAGCGTGGCATTGAACTGGAAGATATTTTCTCCGCTACCAACCAGCGGCCTTGCAATCTGGGGGCCGCGACACGCCCTGGCTCTGACCATGAGGTAGCTGATTCGAGTTTACTAGCGCGTGCCAAGAAACCCGTGGAAGCGAAGAAGAAGAATATACTAGCGTTTGGAAGCACTGGCTGTGGCAAATCCACGATCTTTCTGATCATGCTGGAATACCTCTGGTCTAAAGGTGAGCTGTGGCGTGGAAAGTTTGATCTGGTACTGGCAGTGGAATTACGGAATCCAGTACAGGACTGTACGAGTCGCTTGTCCGCCGCGTCATGGAACGACATGCGGGCAAGCGCTACAAGACGCTTTCCACCATCAAGACGGACGAAATCGAAGTGTTGAAGGAGCTATCTGGTTTTGCATTATCTATGCTAGCTCAGCAAAAGATGGTGTTCAGCGAGGAGGATGTCATTTCGTCACAACTAAGCGCGCCTGCAATTGAATTCGGATTGCTTATGGCTTACAAGAGCACCAGCTCAACAGAGGACCGGCAATATCGATAATGCTCACTTGTCCATTCAGGAGTTCTTGGCAGCGTGGCACGTGTCTAGCGAGATGCTGAACGACGAGAAGGACGCTGCGTGGCTGGTGAGGAGAGTCGGCCATTACAGAGGTCACATGACCATGTTCTGGCGTTTCCTGATTGCGCTCACACCGCCAAAGCCCGCAGTCGTCATCATGGAGCATCTGTGGCGGATAATCTGCGACGGCGACCGTACACAACGTGCATGCAGCCAGACTGATACACACCTGCTCGACGACATTGTGAGCCGTTCTCAGCCAACCAAGCAAAGCAACGACGTGGACCGTATCCATGCGGTGCTGAAATCGGCGCTGTCAGTTGAAAAGATGAAAGAGCTCGCCGATCAGCTGCTGGTTGGTACCGCCGGGCAAGGACGTGGTCGTCAGCGTGTCGACAATGCTCTGCCGCGAGGCAGGGAGTTGACGGACGACTTGTACCTGGACACTCTTGTAACCGTAAGGAAGACCGAGGCAGTGGAGACGAGTGCAGAGGTGATCCTGTCAGCTGTACGTAAAGTGGATCCCGGAACCGCATCTCATTGTGAGCAGCATGCGATGACAAGCGCAACGTCGGAGATATCGACGCCTACGTCATCTGGAGCTGCCCCGGCTGCTACTGCTGCACCCATACGGCCTCCTGCGAATGATGAGGTGGAACGCCGTTGCCTAGCTGATTTTTTAGTAGCTTATCTAGAGCACGGCCAGTATCAAGGTACGTCGTCTTGTAATGGGCATTGTTCATTCTTCTCTCAGGTCTTTTCTCTGAATTTTTATCGTGTGAAACTCAGCCTGTCCGATTGCACTGCCATTGCTCATTTCCTCACAACCCATTTTTGTGTGGACGTGCAGGAAGTGCACCTTTTGGCTTGTAGCTTAACCAGCACTGCTATGCGCTGCATTCTTAATGGCTTGGCACATTACACACATGTACGTGTGCTCTCTTTGTCTGCGAATCACTGTACCGATGGTAATGTCTTTTCATCAGCCATTTTATTCGCGTCGTCCAGCCTGGAGGAAGCGGATTTAGATTTAAATGAAGTCGGCATTGACGGCTTTGCTTTGGTCTGCCGAGCGCTGAGTTCATGTTGGAAGTTGCGGATTGTTTCACTTATTGGCTTATGCAGTGAGTACGGTGCTGATGTGCCGCTTACGTCCATTCTAGAAATTCTCCATTCTAACAGGAACCTGGAACGACTGTATGTCCTAGGATATTCCTTCACGTTTGGTCCTAGATCGGAGGAACGATGTGTACTAGCCCAGTTCGTACAGGCTGTTCGCCAGTGTAGCAAGCTTTGTGTGCTCTTCTTTTCGCCGCAGCATAGGGAGAACAGCAGGTTGCTGTACGAGCTACAGCCGCTGGTAGATGATCCTGAATGTGCTCTGCAGTTTTTGGAGGGCTCTAATTGTAACTCTGACACGGTACAGTTGCCATGGTTATAGCCAGCACCAGCCCCGGCACAGATTCTCTTTGACACCGAAAATTGCATTCTTTTCTTTTACAGAGCTTGATTTTCCAGCCGCTACAGTTAACTACTTGCCTATAACGAGGAAGTGCAAAGCCCATTTTCCTCTTGCCCAGGCCAAACACTGAGTTGACCATAAGAGCTTTCCTTGCCAGTGGTGCCTGTCTATATAGCAGATCATTTTCAAAAACTTTTCAATCTTTTCTCAATTCTTGAGCGCACGCTGCAATGCTGATAACACTCCCTGCAGTACAAAAATATATTATTTTGAGTGTCTTGTACTGACACGATGTTTTCACTCCATTTCCTTGTCTCTTCTGTGTTTCCTGAATTACACTGACAGTTGGCTGTGTGCAGAGCACCGGTATGCAGACTGTATGTTTGTTTGTGAAGAACACGTGGAGTGATTCACATGAATGTCAATCACTGGCATTGTGTGTTGGTTAACATTGTGTGCAGTGCACTGGTTACCGGCGTACGGTTTCCTTTTGGAATACAGAGGGTTTGAACCGGGACTTGACCCCATACAGTTCCGAATTTTCGGATGGCCGGACTCTGCCGATCGGTTACCAGAGTTCTAGCAAGGTACAGTAAAACCTGTAACTAAAGACCACCTTGACTAGCGACCAGCCTGGTACTACAGTAAAACCTGTAACTAAAGACCACCTTGACTAGCGACCAGCCTGGTACTACAGTAAAACCTGTAACTAAGGACCACCTTGACTAGCGACCAGCCTGGTACTACAGTAAAACCTGTAACTAAAGACCACCTTGACTAGCGACCAGCCTGGTACTACAGTAAAACCTGTAACTAAAGACCACCTTGACTAGCGACCAACCTGGTACTACAGACCACTTCGCCAGGCACGGACTGTCTCACATTCATACATGGTTGTGCGGTGCAAACCTCTAACTAAGGACCACCTTTGACTAAAGACCGCTTTCTCTGGCCCCAAGGGGTGGTCGTTAGTCACAGGTTTTACTGTATATAAATATACAGTGGCCCCTTTATAAGCCGGCACCATTAGTTTTATTCTCCTGAAATTCTGCTGGATCAGGGAGGATGCTGGATCAGGGAGGATGCTGGGTCAGGGAGGATGCTGGATCAGGGAGGATGCTGGATCAGGGAGGATGCTGGATCAGGGAGGATGCTGGATCAGGGAGGATGCTGGATCAGGGAGGATGCTGGATCAGGGAGGATGCTGGATCAGGGAGGATGCTGGATCAGGGAGGATGCTGGATTAGGGAGGATGCTGGATCAGGGAGGATGCTGGATCAGGGAGGATGCTGGATCAAGGAGGATGCTGGATCAGGGAGGATGCTGGATCAGGGAGGATGCTGGATCAGGGAGGATGCTGGATCAGGGAGGATGCAGGATCAGGGAGGATGCTGGATCAGGGAGGATGCTGGATCAGGGAGGATGCTGGATCAGGGAGGATGCTGGATCAGGGAGGATGCTGGATCAGGGAGGATGCTGGATCAGGGAGGATGCTGGATCAGGGAGGATGCTGGATCAGGGAGGATGCTGGATCAGGGAGGATGCTGGATTTATAAAATCTGATACTGCTGCAGTGTGCATGAAGAGGATATTTTGGCTTCTAAAATTTGTGCTGGTTTATAGAGGTTGCTGGATTAAAGAGGTTGCTGGATTAAAGAGGTTGCTGGATTAAAGAGGGACGAGTCACGACTGTACATGTACAGTGTAGTACCAGTAGTAGTGGTGGGCAAAGGAAACTATTAGAGTATACCCAATACTACATTAGTCAAAATTGTCTTGCCAGTACGGCAGTAGGCCCGACTTCATCCCCGACAAGTGTGCATCTCTGAACCCTCTACTACTTTGTTTGACTACTGTTTGACTATCATCATAATTATCAACTTCATTTTCGTTGAACTCAAGCCCAACTGATGAGGGGAGGGGGGGGGGGGAATTCCCCGAAACGCTGTGGCGGTTTCTTGCAGGTTTGCCGAGTGGAAGGTTCGGTGGCCTTCTTGCGTGGTCTGGATGGCAGTCGTGAGTCCGAGTCAAGTGAGAATTCAAGTCGGCAGGAAAGGCGCGAGCTCCCACGTGACGTAGGGAGCAACACACAATTCCCCGGCCCCAAGTATCGCCGAAGTCGCACCAACCTCTTCTCCACATTGTTGTCCCCAGCGCAGGCTTGCGAATTAGATGGT